TCAGTATTCATTTCTTATTATTATAGCATAACACATAAAACATCATACTGTTATTTATTATACGGTAATATTATTATCATTGAATTAACAGGAGAAAACCACAACTAGAGAAGCATGAACCGAGGTATGCCATGCAGGGATACATCATTCATCTAATCCTTGTCAAATCATTGCTTTTAATGTTTTCATTGTCTCTATTAATCCCACTTATGCCACGTTCCACCTACTTTTCCAGACGTAACCGAAGAGGCGGCAAGACGAGCCCAGGATCTAGCCGATCAAGCACAATCATTGGCGAAATCAGGTAACGTATAGTGCCAAAGAAAGTACAGTGAAGAGAGAAAAAAAAAAAAAAACAAAAGAAAAGAAAAAAGAAAGAAAACTCACGAAAACACAGATCGCAGGCCCAAGATCGATACGTTAGCAGATTCTATTTTGGTGCCCTCATTTATATTTAGCTTTATCTTCCATAGTTAGCACCTGCCGATGCTTTCACACTAATATTGTGCGCACGTTTCTTACTAAATAGATACCTATTTGCGGCATATAGAGTAAATTGTTAATATATAATCTTCGAGGTAAACGGTAAAAATTCCATACATTTTTTTTTTTTCTTTTTTTTTGTACAACAATTTGAATACACTTGGGACACCTTCGATCTATTATCATATGTATAGTAATGTCGAATAAATATATAATTATGTGTTTATAGTTGAAACAAAGTAGATTAGAGGAACTTTCATTTTTTTTTTTTTTTACTTATCTACTTACTTACTTAGCTGGTAGGTAAGACGTACGTTATATACTTTTTTCCCCACCGATTCTTTTTCACCGCTTTACAAATATATTATAATCGCTTTTGATCAGTTCACAAGAATCACGCTTCTATATCGAACTTCCTGCAATAATAATAATAATAATAATAATAATAATAATAATAATAATAAAAAAAGAGAAAAGAAAAAAAAGTGAAGAAAAGTTTCCTTTCTTATTTTTAATTTTTGATTAAAAACACGCGTTCATTTCGAAAAAGTAGTTATTTTGCAGGGTACGTTTTAGTAAGATTCAGGCGCCACGATTCAAATGAGTGTTTTTTTATATATATATATATATAAAACATACTAATCCCGTTGCAATATTGATACTAACTAACTAAAAAAAAAAAAAAAAAAAAAAAAAAAAAAAAAAAAAAAAAAAAAAAAAA